AAAAAGCCCACCATGGCCAGTCTGATCCACCTAGTGAGCAAGGCTCAACTTACAACTGGCCCCCCTCAAAGTCATCCTCCATGCAAAAAGCCCACTACTATTTGTGACCGCGGTTGCAAATTATCGCCGCAAGGCGCGCTCGCTTACGTGCTGTTACCAGATCTCGAAATATCCTTGGATATCATATATATATCGGACCATCGTACACTTTATACTTCGTCTCAACCCACACTACCTCGCCATCATAATTTCTGACCGCGGTCAGAAACCATCCCTATTTTCATCTTCTCTTCACACAAGCAATCATCGACTTTGGGGTATTTAAGCAGCCACCCCCACTGCCGAACGTTCTCCTGCATTTTCCCCGCCATTTTGGACCTCCCGCCGCTGCTGATCACGGTAGTATGTCTCTCGGTCATGGTATTGGAAATTACGCTTAAAGCCAGAAATTCCGAGTCCTCTTTTGGCACATGTAGTGCTCAGCATGTAATACCATACCCTCTTCGTCCAATAAAACAATCAATTTGCGTACCTATCCCATCTCACACAGCCCTATCAGTCCAGTATCAAACTATCGGGTCCATAAGTATACGGCCCGATGAACCTAGTATCAACTGATCCAGCCTCATATACAGGTCCCCATCGCTTGGTCCTCTTCAGTCATCCTCGTCGTCATCCTTATCCTCCTCGCCGCTCTCCACCCCATCCACTAATGACTGCACCGCCTTCCGCAACTTTGTTACGTGCTTATGCTGTCGCTCGACATTAGTCACCATCACCTTTCGCTAGGTTGACGCGTTATCTATCGTCGATTTGATCTGAACTTTTTGCACCGGACGGTTCACATGATCTGAAATTCAGTGATGCTACGGCAAACTAAAATTCACCTTGTTTACTTTGGGGCAAAAAAGGTAGGGCCAAACGACAAGCTGTTATTTTCAAAAGCCGTTCTCCGAAAATAGGCGGCCATCATAGGAAATTGTATTAGGGGAGGAATTCGCAGAAGGAGTAATAGACGAGGATAGTGCCGAAGAAGATACCGACTCCGAATCCGAAGAGCCTCCACTTCAGGACAGGTTCCTAGTGAGTGAGTCATAGGGATAAGCGGAAGATTGTGCCGTTTGCACGAATTCGTCTGCTAGTCGGGTGGGTGTGAATTGTCGCGTCTGATCGTATGTCATCCAGCGTGTGAACTAATATGAGACGTATGGTCAGTTTCAAATGTGCTAAGAGGAATAGGACGAACAGACAGTTGCGATCCGCACTCCAAGCCAAAGACATCGATGTCTTCTAGCAATCTCTGTCGAATGTCCCTCTATTGACGGTCTGTCGTCTTCTGTAGGAGCTCCCTCGAAGAATCTTTCGGGGTAGTAAACCCGGCTCCATGCCTGTCCTCTGATCAAAAAGTCCTCCGGTAACTGTTGTGTAGTTGGGTCGTCAAGAAGCGGGAATGATTCGTCTTCGATCTTCGAAATGATCGTGTCAGGATCGAACAAGGTGTTCAGATAAGTTGCAAGTAACGACCACGGAACCAGCGGTTCTAGTCGTTGTATAGCCGCCGGGTTAAGCGTGAGACACCACACGAATGCTATAGAGATATGCACGCTCGGATACATATTTGGGTTCCCGACTTGGCCTAGCATGACGATCAAAGTGTGAAAGGCGAGAGAGCTTGCCCGGAATAGAAGCTGGGACGAGAGATCGCTGTATGTGGTATAGATAGCTGCACTAGATGCACTAGATGCCCATTTCATTGCCGCTAGGCGATCTTCCGCCGTAGGATTGCACTTCAATATGAAATCTCTCTCCATCACTCCATATTTGCTCCCATATTGAAATATCGCGGAGATATTGCAAGACATAAGTTGCACACCTTGCTGCCCGTGTCTGCCTACCTGGCTAACCTCGTTTCGTAGAGTAGCAAGAAACATATTCGCTCGAGAAACAAACTCCTTAACCGGAGCTTGTATAAGAAGCGCACCATGAGTAGTCACGAACGAAGTAGTCAAATTGCCCTCCTGGGCCGGCATATTCATAAGAGGAATGATCAGCTTGGTTATGCTATCGAAAGCAATTGGGAATGGGCGCACGCTAATTAAAGCTTTCGTGTAGTGAAAAATCTGCTGGAGAATGTCCGGACTAGCTAAGACAGCAAGATGATGCTGGATGCGGCCATTCTCTGCACTTCGGTCTGGGTCCTGGTTATACCAATACCTCGAGACCCTTGCCCAGAGTTCGCGGTCCTTCTTATCGAATACCTCCACGGCCATACGGTACCGTGCTAAGTCACCTAGGCACTCAACCCAAGTCTCTCTAAAATCCAGCACGCTTTCGAGCAGCAATGTTATTATCGAGGACGAGAGGTAGATGAAGTCGAACATAAACTCCATCGAGCCGGGGGTTCTCTGACGCAACAACTCCAAGAATGAATGCATTCCATGGCGCCACATGCGCGCCGGCATCTTGTGCTTATCAGCTAAGCCTCTAAGAATAGGAGTAGCTGACGGATGTTGGGAAGCGAGGAAAAGGTCAACATGTGCGTCGAGTAGTGTTCGGTGTAGCGAGACGAGCGCCTGCCACTGACGCGGCGATAGTTCGACCTTTGATTGCGCTAGTTGTTTGTCGCTTTTGATGCACTTCTTTTCCACCATGACAAGACCAGCATAAATTTCCCTTGCTTCATTGATCAGTTGCTCCTCAGTGACGGTGTGGGTCTTTGGTTGCTTGATCATTTCCTGAGGTTCTCCCTGAGCACCCGAGTACGCGCAGTTTTGGTCTCCTATTCCGTTGGAACCCGACGGGCTATATTGGAATGACACTGTCGTGTCATCCATTTCAATAGCGATTGCTCTAAGGAAAAGACGAGTTAGTAAATAGTCATGTGAAGAAGAAGTTGTGAGTGGAAAATACCTGACGATCGTAGTTGAGGGTTCAAATGAGGGGGTCAAATTATGATTCAGCCTCGTAAGTAGGCAAAGGTACAAAATCTGGAAGAGGGACAGGGAGAAGCCCCATTTATACCAGGCTTGAGTCTAAGGCACCTGAAACTTTACGGGGATGATTACTGACCTATCATGTCCCCTCCTTCCTATTGGCTGTTGAAAGCAATATGCTACGCTAGCTAGACAATTGAAGAGCTATTCCACTCAAATATCCACAAGCAGACCGGAAGAATATGTATGCTCTAGGAATCAAGTCAGTAGTTCACTAATCATCCATTAGGGCCTTCCTACGATGAATAGTTTCTCTGTCGTGTTTACCCTGATGCGGTAAGACTCTATAGTTTCTGTCCGTACCTATGCTTATTCTTGCATTAAGCGACTACTTGTTTTCAAACTTATAGGTCCATATTCGGGCAGTTCATCTGATCTATTGATATATTGATATAGGTGCCGCTTACATACAGTTTCGACAGATCTCCAGATCCCTTCAACTAGATCTTTCTAGGCCTCTATGCTTTGCCTCTCTGTCCATATGAAGGTGTGTAGTGCAGCTTCAGTGCAGTAGATAGGGATAATCATCAGCATTGACATTTGACATCTTCTGTTGATCACTTTCTTCTTATCATAATGCTTTTAGGAGTGCGTCAAGGCGATCGGTTTCGGCCTTAAACCAGTTGATAAGGAGTGGGTCTTTTGACATGTAAACTGGATCCGCGGCGTTATTGTATTGGGATATCATGTGCGTCAAAGCATGAAATGCGGTCTCACGAGAGGAACGACCGCATTCAGCGGCGAAAAGTGGATCACAACTCAACAACCGCAAACTGCTCAGGTCCCTAACGTGGTCGTTGACTCGCCGAATAACATCTTGGTTGACCGCCAGATCAAACTGGCCTTTGCCCAGAGGAATAGCAATAAAAACCATGCCATCCTCCCCTGGCGGAATTTCCGAGTAAATATAATTGACGGCATCGCATTCGTTAAAACTCTGGTCGCGAAGTAAAGTGACACGCATGGTCTATATGATAGGATTTAATAACACCCTAGCAGGTAAAGGAGAATATATACTGACTTTGAGCGGTTTCATCTGGAAGGTCTGTTAGGCTGGTCTCCAGCCAGCGTGGTTGAAAGCCTCGGCGTTCGGTAGACCCTACTTTTCCTAATGTGACGAGTGGCTTCTTATAGAAGAGTCTCCACTATAAACAGTGAATACTCACCGCCAATTCTATACAACGCCCGGGTTAGTGAAAAGCACCCCGTAATGGGCAATATGTCTCCTTCGATGTACTGTCCCGAAACTCAAAAACTCAAAGAGTCGAAAGCATCAAATAATATTCCAGGGGTGTAAATTGCTACTAGTCTCAGCCTCTTACATGTTGGCGTTCAAAAAGCAATCAACGTTAGTTGGTTGTAGAGTTAGGGGACGGCTAGTCACGTGGGCAGTAATAAAACTTGGTTGCGTAGTCCTATCGCGGAACCGATTAATTGCCTGAAATTCGATTCCTACCCCGGTGTCTTTAGATGTTCTATATTGTCCAAAATAGGGGTCCGATGTTGCTAATTGAGCAACTGATTGCTTTAGAAGTGGATTCTTTCTCTTTAACCGACGCATATTCTCTGTTATTCGCACTATAAGCTAGAGTAGATCATCTGGCTGCAGAAAGCTAACTGGAAGAGCGCTAGCAGGCTTGATCGTGGAGGGCACCTGCGAGCACATGGTAGGCTCGGATTGAGCAATACTGCTGGCGAATAGGCTGTCTAGCGAGGTCCTGGAGTGAGTGGAGGTGGTGGGCAAGTGAAGTGTCCCGTAACCAAGATATTCACATATATCTGCCAGCCTATATTGAAATGTCAGTGGCATCTTATCATGGTGTCGCGGATTGCTTACTGGATCGTACCGCCCGTGAGATAGTGGACGATAGAAGGAATGCAGTATGATATCCAACCCTCTTCGTAAAGTGGTATAGCTGCCTGTCCTAGGTGGCTCACCACCTCTTGATAGCTATTTGCACCATAGGTGGCGAAACGGCCGAATTGAGCCGGCGTCCGGTTCTCTACATTCACGGTCAGTAGTGTTGGCCAGGGCAGGAATCACAGAACGTACCTAAGAGAAATATTTCCCAACTCTTGTATCCCCAACCCTTTGCCAGAAGCCCTGCCGCGCATCGATTGACCCACAAGGCGCCATGACGATACTTCTCCAGTGTCTGATCATTTTGGTCCTGACCGGTGTATCGCCTCATCGTGTCGTTTGTCATCGCCTTCGGAACACCAGCTCGTATCATGACCACGCAGTAGCTGCAAAATATTATATTCTGAAACGCGACCACACGCACCGCAAAGTTCCGGTCGTCCGCGCAGCGAGAAATGAAGCTACCATATTGACAGCCCCGCATGATAAGATGCCCGTAGTTTGTTCGTAGCAAGGAAGGCATGACAATATCGTCTCGGTTCTCGTGAAAGGCAACAGGTCCGGCATGGCCCAGAATCAATTTCAGAGCCTCTTGGTTTCTAAAAAAGGTATCGATGCCTGCTCTCTTTCTGGCTTCGTTCCATTGGGCTTCCGATAAGGGAATGGCGTGAACAAACTTGTCAAGTTGGTTCTTCCATTTAGCACTTCCCCTGTTTGGCGCTAGAGGTTGTGTGTGGCCGGCCAGCTGAGGTGTGCAATCGACAAACCGAAAACTCTCCGCAGAGGCCCCTGCAGTCTGGGAGGGCTCAAACGCCAGAGCACTAATTGGGCATGGAGCGCCGAAAAATGGCTGCACGCTGATCAGTTGACACTCGAGAAACCTGATATACTCATCGTCATTTCCTGGGAAATTGAACAATCGCTGAGACATCGTGGTGTAAAAGAAGGATGTATTTTCTTCGGGGCCGGGACCATCTTCCTTAAGAAGAACGTACCCGGGTACTTACTTTATTCGGAAGCAGAAATAGGGTCCAGACCATCACGGAGACAATTTCGAAGTACGAGGGAATGATCGTGCATGCAGGCTGCTGCCCCTAAAATACTATTTCTATATTAGTAGGCTTAGAAGTGTGATGACCTCTCACCTTCATTGGCCACGACCGTGCAGAGCTTATGCGCCCTTCCAACGCAGTATGGTGGTGTAAGGGTGAGGATGGTCAGGATTTGGGGAAGCGATACCATAGCAGTAGGTCACTGGCTAAATCAACCGGCAAGTGGCTAGATTTGACAAATTAAACAAAGACCAACGCTGATTCTGGCTGGAATGATGTCTGCGTAGGGTATGCATTCTGAGCTATACTATTTTGGGATTAAGTGACGTTTCGATAGTGAGACCTGTAAACACTTAGTGTTTGAAGTGGCGAATTAACTATATCCTGCCCCCTTTTAGTAGACACGTCAATACTAGGGATATAGTTGAGTTCGAAGTATTCGAGAAGGCCAACCCTTCGAGGGATGATGTCAAGTCACGCGTGGCTATATTGGCAGCAGAGGATGCGTATCTCTAGTCTTTCTATATTTAGGGTGTGAAACAATAATGAAGGCAGCAGCACGGTGTGACAAATCTTTTATATTCTATGCTTGGTAGATTACTCGATGTGACGGCTGGTGGGACCGAGCAGCTTAAATATCTGGTGTCCCCGGTAGGAATGACCAGCGAGCGTACAGCAACATACACTTCTTCCCAAGTTTATTCCAACTCTCTTAACACCATGGGCTTTTTGACTATTCCAGTGGAAGAGATCGATATCCCCTTCGTCGATCTTCAAGCGAAAGAACCGGACACTGAGCGATTTTCTGCCAGTACCCTTATTTTCCTTTTTGGCCACGTGCTTCTCTGTCAGCGGGCTCCACTCGGCAAAGACGACAGCGGCAACGACAAGGAGAACTCATGGCCCTTCACCTGGGAGGGAGCGGGGGGATCCCGAGAGGAATTCGATAAAACTATTTTGAGTACTGCCGTACGTGAGACGGAAGAAGAAGTCCGCTTGCACGGCTCGCGCGTTTCTCGTCAGGTCTACAGGGATTCGTGGATACACAGCGGAGTTCCGATGGCAAGATACACATTTCTTATGGAAGTTCATGAGCAACTCAAGGTCCAACGAACATGGTGCGACACAAAGCAGCGGCCCGTCGGTACGAATGAAGGACCTATACGGTTAAGGGGACATGAACATCTTGATTACTGTTGGGCCACGGAAGCTCAAATACGTGATTCACCTTCGTACGATGAAAAGGATCCCCGGCATCAAAGAGGACTTGTTATGCTTGAAAGCAAGAAGGAGATGATCCTCGATGCATTCAGACGGCTGAAGGATTCTCAGGTTGATATGACATATAGTTTGTCAAAAGGTTGATGGTGAAAGGTTATGTTTTCGTTTGGACAGAAAGCATGGAAATCTGTATGGAGCGACGAGCCCCTAGACAAAATAGTCCAGCCTTGTTCGGATAGTGATTGTGACGCTGGTAATTATTGGTGTTAGAGGTGCAGAGATTCGTACGACAGTTTTCCTCCGTACAGTATAATCTTCGCTGTAGGCAGGACTGCGCCAATTATGCACAGAGTCTATGTCTCAATATCGAAATATAATCCCAAAACGGTATAGCTCAGAATGCATAGCCTACATAGACACTGTACCGTCTGTAGAGCCTGAATCAGCATTGGTATTTATTTAATCCATTAAGGCCAAGCCAGTGACCTGTTACCATGCTCACCCTGATCTTTCTTAATTAGCATGCTCTTGCCTTTATTTATATTCAATAGAATAGCTGGTTCATAGATGGTGATATGATATGACATACAATTTCAATTCAACAAAATTAAGTTTTCCCGCGGAATTCCATAAGGGCTTTCCTTGCTCCAATGGTCCCTTGGAATTTCCCGTAGTCAAGCCAGCAAACTTCCATTTTTCCCTTGTCTTCCAGCTTGACGCGCAATCTTTTTATATCCAATAAATCTTTCGTGTACTGAATCTCCAGCACTTGGATCACCTTCCTTTTAACTGGGAACAAAGGTTTAAACTCTCTGAGAGCATCGTCTGCTTTGCTGATAGGGTCGAAGTCTCTGAAGTCCAACCAGCGCACTATTCTGCGCCCATCTTCCTCTAGCTTGACGAACAACTTTGCATTGTCCAAATAGGTCTCCCAATATCGGATTTCCTGGATTTCGATCACTTGCCTACCTTCTGTTTGGGCATTGCCTAATGCTCCGCGTATAGCAACATCAGGCGATATGGCGATGCTCTCCGCATTTCCTGATCTGATCTGTCGCTTATCAACGTCGCAGTTGGTGAAATACTGATTGAGAGATGTGCTAGGAATATCAGGCCTTGCTTTTGATAGGTCTTCGTCGTTTGCCATGTAGAATGGATGCGGCCCTTTGTTTGGTCTGCCACGATAAAGTCTCACGTCTGACGGGCTGCTTGGCTGCCCTTGTATGTTCGGAGGGTAAATCTTGCCCGGTTGAGTCTCAATTTTACCCAAGGGAAGGGAGTTTGGTAGTTCTGTTGGGTAATTTTCAGTGTCGGCCTAAGTAGTCAGTCAATTTGTTTTGACCTGCCAAAGAGAGTTTGCCCATACCTTTGAGACCCCGAAGCACACCATTAGCAGCGTGAAGATATTGAGTCTCGACGCGGACCGGTTCGTAAAGATGTTTGCCATAGTCGATGGGTAGCATGAGATCTGAAGTTCCCTGGCAAGATGTATTGCTTATATATTGGAGCCATGATCGTAAAGATACCCATTTCAGGGGCATGCATCTACTATCACAGAGCCTAGGCGGGCCTGGATTCTGAGCAACCATCTATGGGAATGCATTCTATGCTATACCCATTCCGTCGTCACATTCTAGGTTTCTGAGTCAGCGGCACGGGCGGACTCAAATCACCTAAGCGACTCCCACTTTCACGTATCGACAATGCCAGCCCGCCGCAATCCACCAGTTACTGCGGAGGGTCTACTCCACGACCTATCCACTCAGATGGAACGTTACTTAAGATTTTTGGAAGTCGACGTCTCTTCAGCTATTGCGGAAACCAACACAACCGTAGTGGATTTTATTTCACGTGGTGCCAGTTCACGCTTATGGATCCTACGCCTACGAACCATCCTTCGATGGTCTTCTCTGGCTTTGGAAGAGGAAGAATGGCTACGAACGCAAGGATTAGGCCGTGCACATCCTGGGAGTCAGGTCCGCGGCGTGTGGTCGATGCCGTCTTTCCTTCGCCACCTAGGGCGGTCGAACGACCATAATGCTTGTAGTGATCTTCAACAGGGGCGAAAGCTTAGGAGGTTTGAGATCGAGTTCGGTGAGGGAATTGCACTTCTGTTCACCCCGGTCTTGCCTACTTTCCGCCGACTATCCCTTACCGAAGAAGCCAAAGCCATACAGCTTCTGAAAGCTAGCCATGCCAACATTCTTATTGACGCACAACGGCTTCTACATTTTAAGTCTAAGTATCAAGCATTGGTAGTAACTCATATCCTTTCTTATTTCTCATACCTAACACAATTCTTTGTCTAGGTTCCGCGTCCAATACTACCGATTCCCTAGGGCGAGCTGCCTAAACCGCCATAAACCCAAAAACCTCTTGCCCGTACATATCAACCCCCATTGGTTCACCATTTTCCCCTTGCCAGACAAATGAGCCTCCAGCAGGAACTTCGATCTCCATTCTGACGGATCCTTTCACAAAAAGGATTTCGTTCGGCAGCAGTGTCCGCGTCACGGGTCGGGTTTCCCGTATTTCCTCTTTCGGTAAATCCTGGGGGTATAGCATGAAAGTCACTCTGGTCTCGTCGATATTCGAAAGATCCCGAAAGATAGAGACCGCATGCCGAGATGGATGCGCAAGCCTAGTGCCCCATGTTGAGTGGTTTTCGGAGGAGACAACGATAACGGGACCCTGGCTAATAGGAAAGCCAACTTTCCCTATAGCCTCCTTGATTTTTCTAGTGAACTACATTTGTCAGTCTTGATTCAATATGCTCTCTAGCATACCCACCGCGTCCTCGTCCCCACATCGCAAAAACCGCCCACATATGTCAGCATCTCCCCTGCCATAGATAAAAGGGCCTTCTTCTATCTTTGGCCGTAAGTGTAAAGACCTCGTCACCTCGGAATTTATCTCCGCTCCGTCAGAGGAAGCGGAAAACACGACAAAGCCCGTGATCTCCATTCCCGGTAGATGTTGCTCATTGTAACGAGACGAACTGATCTGCGCTGTTGTCATGTTTGCGTTCCTGTACTAGGCCCAAGCAGTCTAGCTTGATAGGGAATAGTCGTAATTGAAACTGGGAAGAGGAATAGAAAGGCAAGATAGCGCGGCACGGAGCTTTATATGTTTGGCATATTGGAATCGGAGATTATTCTAGTTAGTAATTTGACGTGGTTCTTCTATTTTACACACCCTATTGTGTGCTCCAGTTAGAATACACTCCTTTTACGCCACGCCTAGTTGCTTTTGGATGCAGTTATCGTAATTGAAACTTTGCATTTTCTTTCACAAAGTTAGAGAATATTGACGATCGATATGTAAAATGATTGTGACTACCAAATCCTAGACTCTGGCTGAAGAAAAGTGCTTAAAGGAGGTAGGTAACGAAAATAACGTAATGATTGATCGAGTGAGAAGACTAAATGGGTGTATTGTTGAAATTCCCTTAGGCGTTTCAATATCTGGCGATTACAACACCAGGTGTGATCGAAGTCAATTTCATAGTAACGTGAGCGGGCTCTTTGCCATTGACGAATGAATTGAAACTATGAGCGAGAGCCCATGTTCTCAAGAGCCGTCGCAAGGTGATACAGTCCAGCATCCTCCGCCTTGATCTTCATACCCAGAACTTGAACGCTCCCAACTACTTCACCTAGGGTTTGGATCTTTCGAACCGCAGTATCCTCCCTTGGTGCGAACATTTTCTCGACAGAGTCATCTGATAGCATAGCTCCACAATCCTCTCTTTCCTGGCACACTCCGTTAACAGTTTTTATCACAATATTCTCTGACAGAGCCTGGCCTGCTTTCCACTGGTCTGCTTTCCACTTTGTAGCTAGGTTTGGTAGAATGTTTTTCAGCATTTCCGCGCTTCTGATATCCACACTTTCTGCCGCCATAAGTGCAGCTTCACTCCAGTCCAGATGGCTGTCAGTATAGCGCATAATCCAGCTCGCCCCAAGAATGCAACTGTGTTTTGCGGCGTACGTCAGGAGTTTTCCGGGGGGTTGGTGGCCATGGCTTAGGAGCCAATTAAACAATGGCCCCGGATCCGTTCGATCCACTATATCCAACCAACCAGGTGATGCGTTTTCAGGGTGAGGTCTTCCCAGATCTAGGCCTAAGTCCAATAACTCGTTTGCAAGGTCCACATCGGCAAATTGCCATATGTTTTTCATTTCATCTGGTCCAAGTGAAGTAAGACCATTCTTCGGTAATGGTTTAAGCCGTGCCCAGCAGACCTGAAACCAATTTCGATTCCATGTAGAGACCTGAAAGATTGTGCGCCGGTCTCCATTCGCAAAAGGACTCAAAAGATCTTTAGGTTCCATCAAAGACACGAGGCGTAGTATAAGGTCATCTTGGTGACTCCTAACCGCTAGCCAAAAGAAGCTGAAGCCATGGCAGAATGAAGAAGGCCGAACCGTTTGATGATCCAAGAGTGACTTAAAGCACAGAGAGCAATTTTCGATCGACCATGAGGCCAGATTATAGGGGGCACCCTCCTCTATCCTCTGCTGGCGGCTTTTGGCATGGTTGTAATCGTGGCAGAGGCTCCACTGAACCTCGATCTTTTCCCGTAGCGATAGGCTTGACAAGACAGTTTTAATTGCGCTCACAATCAAAGGTTGCGGACTCTCTTTACTGAGTTCTTGGGACAAAAAATGAAGGGCCTCGTGGGAGCCGAGCGGTTCGGAGAGAATGTCGGACTCAATTTCTGATAGTATAAGATCTAATGGCAGCGACTCGATGCTCTCGAAGAGTGAAGGGCTTCGGAGGGGCATTTTCGGAGATTCATCATGAGCAGACATGTCCATCTAACGACTATGGCATAGAAACAATGCTGAAATGAGTTGAAGTATTTTTACGAAGGAAATGACCCGTGGAAAATGAAGGTTTTATAGTGGATTCCAATCGAGGGATCAACGCTCAATCGCAATTCCACCCCGACTCATGTGCGCTCTACCTCATTGGACATTGAACCCGTCGCCATTAGTTATCGTACCAGCTACAGCGTAAGCCATCAAGTACATATATTAGAAGAGTTGATACGATACGCATGTCTATATTCACTATGTTGTGGAACTATGATTCCCGATAGTCGGGTCTGGGCATGAGGTGACGTTCTATCACCGGTCCGACGGTGGGCGTAAGTTAACACAGAGAAACTAGGAAACTAGTTATGTCACGCCTAGGAAATGTCACATAATGCTTTCGGTAAAAGAAAAAAAGCTATATGTGCTACGTAGACCGAAAAGACTTAAGGGCGTGGTGTAAATACTTCATTCAGGCTTAAGTATTTCTATCTTGAGGCTTTAGGCACGTGGCTTTCGTTCGAGCCGTGTTCGCGAACCTAAATGAGCAGGCCTCGTGATCTCTAAATTAGAAGAGGCTCATCGCCGCTTGATCACGCTGATATCCGAGCCCTAGCGTTTCGGGCTAAGTCCTTAGAACAATCCTTCTCCTCTATCAAGTGTCCGCCTTGACATAGCGGCATAATATGCTCCAAATCCTCGAAAATACCAAGTGAAAGCCTTGAGGTGTTGATTACCAGTCAATGAACTGAAAAGTCTTAACGTAGCTCTCGCACACCTAATGCACTTGATTGCAGCTGACTGGCTATCGGGTGTGGTATCTCCATCGAGATACTTTTCGAGGTATGGCATGTAAAGACGCTGGAGGAGATACTGGACAGTGTATTGTAGAATATCGAAGCTGCCCTTCCAGAACCCCAATTGTAAATCAGAACCATCAAGCCTAGTAGAGAGCTCGCTGTAATATTTCTCCATATGAGATAGCTCACCGATCACTCCAGGTAGAGTCCATTCTGACAATAGATCGTGTTGCATGCTCATAGCGATGGTATCTGACATTTTTAGGACTTGAAATTGTAGCATGGTGAAGGTCTTTTCCGGCAGAGTTGATGCTTTCGTGCTTATTGACAAGTTGTGTACTTTAACTGGCTTTTCATAGTCGATACCAGTCAAGAGGCGTATACTTCGCGAGACCTCTGGATCATGACAATGGCCGTGTACCTGAAAGTTCATAGAGCATAGCATTTTCAAGCCGATCCAAAGAATTCGATGCTCCTCACAAGCCATGGGCTGAGTAGAACATTGCTGGCAGCTCATAGATATTGCCATATCATAAGCTGAGTGAAGATCCTTTGATACATCCTCTCCGCGATGGACACGATTGTAGATAATGAGTATTACTGCCTTTAGCGCAATCGTCGATGGTTCAAAAGGTGGATAGTGAATAGACAGACAGTCGCAAGCGACCTCCTCGTATTTTATTGATAGCATATCAGACAGAGGGCGTCTTTGAGAGTTTTCTTCCGTTCGGCATGCTAACGCTAGGATAGCAAAAAGCAAGGACAGCCACGGGAGAGGTGCGACATCGGGATGTTGGCGGAAGATCAGATACTCACCCTCTAATTGGGCGGGAGGGAAGCTATAGAATAGCTGCTTGCTATTAGTAAATAAAATTCCCGGGGATCAAGAACACCTTACTGGAAACACCGATGCAAAGTATCGTGATTTCAAGTTATCGATCATTTCCCAGCTAGGGAGAGCTTCGAGCGGGTGCTCGAATAAGACTGCATCGACATCCTCGTCTGTATCGCTGAAGTCCAGACTGGGAGTTCGGCTGAGCTCCGATAGAATGCTGTCGACATCCTCGTCTGTATCGCTGAAGTCCAGACTGGGAGTTCGGCTGAGCTCCGATAGAATGCTGTCGACATCCTCGTCTGTATCGCTGAAGTCCAGACTGGGAGTTCGGCTCAGCTCTGATAGGATACTAGTTGTGGAAGCTAGGTCGGTACTACCATCTGATTCATTCCCTCCGCAAGGTTCAACGTCAACCGTACTCGCGTTCTTCTGCCGGAGGATTTGCATTGTTGGTAGATATTTGAAAAGATCAATAGTATAGCGGTAAGAAATCAATGAAGAATGTTCCTTCAATCCGGATCTGGGGCACGGGATATATATATAATACAAGCGAAACTCTCCACTCCAGAAGGAGCTTATGCTGCCACCTGTAGACTTCTCAGCATCATTTTGGCGGTGGAGGCGGGACGCCCGGCTTCTTGACGCCTGTTGTATCGTATGCGCCACGTCTATAAAGCTCAGCTTAGCTTGGTTAATAGTCTCCAGTAAAGATATAGAACCTACCCAGCATTATCCATGCTCACTTTAGGAATAATCATAACTGGCCTCCGCGTTTTAAGTGACTGTGGAATGGATAGCGTAGATTTGACGAGACGTAAGGATTGATCTCTCTATATACGAAGTCAATATTTTGTTATAACCAAGAGATCCGCCTAAAATGTACTATTCCAAATTGTAACACACCTATAAAGTACTTTTTGTTTATACCCTTCCTTTTCCTGCGATGCAATGAGAGGGGAACTAGGACGCAATTATATCTTAGCCACGTGTGAACTAGCTTTCAATTACATATGGGAACAGATATGCTTTCAAAGGATGGGAAACTCTTAGATATCACCGCATATTAAAAAAAAATGCCGTTTATTAGTGTCTAACTTTAAAACGTGCTTTATGGCCCCGCTAGACTCGGGTTCGGACCCGCATCCCGGTGTTCAGCATCGAAATGTGGGCCTGATAGGGAGATTTCATTCTTATTTTCGGAGAACCGGGCAGCTTGTCGTCTGGCCCTAGTCTTTTTCCCCTATTGTAGAGCCGTAGCAACACTGAATATGCTTCCTTATAAATTATCGCATGAAATTGTAGCTTCAAGTTTCATTGTATACGAAATCCTCGAATAAAAATTCGTACCACGAATAGAGTCAAATATTCATATACGAACGAAACTTCCAGACGGGAAAGAAGTCCTAGAGTCGTTCCGGTGCGGTGCATTGTCCGCCCCAGCTTGATATCCTATTTCCCTTCTAATTTACCCAAAAGCTCAGCTAACTCATGCAAATTTGCATCACTTGCAGCAAGGACACTTCAATCTTCCGAATAGCACGATTCTCCACACTCACAAGCGAGCGTTTACATTGCTGGACGTCTCTTTCCGTGGCACAGGGCTGTTGCTCACATAGATAGTCCATCGTGCTCAAAAGGCGTTTACTCTCTATACATGCACCTAACACAATCTCAATCAAGATATCCTGAAGTAAAACCACGTCTTTTAGCTGTTGCGCAATTGCGGCAACTATAGCTAAACTTTCATCGGTTTGGCGTTTAGCGGCCTCTATCGCAGCTATGCGATAGTCGCGGGTGTTACTAATAAGCCAAAGAGCGGCTTCCACCCGGTCTGACTGGGTAGCGAGGAGTAGTGGAGAGGGTCTCTGTTCTTCCGTAGGCGACCAAGCGTGCTTAGACAGCCACTCGAAAATAGGCTTTGGGTCTGGGTGAAACCCAGCTACTGCATGCCAAGCTGTTAAATTGCCGTTGCCAGTTGCAAGACCTAGTGATATGTCGATACGTCGGGCTAGCATTCTCTTTGCTAAATCGACATTGACATGCTTGCAAACAGCATAGATGTGCTTCACCCGAAGGGTGAACGAGAGATCTAGGTCTGGGTCCGACTCCAGTCGATCCCAACAGACCTTGAAAACTTTTGCGCACGTCACGGTCTGCTGAAAGATTGTGTGTTTGAGCCCGATTGACAGAGGTTTGAGCAATTGTTTAGGCTCCATAAGAGATATTAGGCGATATAAAACCTCTTTGTTCTTCTCAATGCTAGAAGCAAGAGCAAAGAAGCTACGGCCTTGGTTGTTATAGTAGCACGGTAGAATTGCACCGTAGTCAAGCATAAAATTGAAGCAATGCTGGCACTCGGTCAAAGTTGATGTAGCGAGACCCTTTTCCGAGCGTAAAGGGATCTCGGGTAGATGGCTCACGGCCTCCTTATAGTTGATATAGAGGTTCCACCGGGTTCGTATCCTTTCTCGGGTCCGTACGCTCCGTATAAAAAGTTCGACCTCTCGTCGAATACGCAGAGAAGGGTTCGATTCGTGTACTAGCAGTCGAAGTTGATATAGAGCGTAATGGGAACCAAGGGGCTTGGAAAAGAAACGTAGTTCAATAATGTGCTGCAGGAGCTCAGACGGAAGTCGCTCGAGTTGCTGGGGGGCAGGGTAAGGATAGCCTTCCTGGATAAATTGCATTATGGATATGGATTGTGCGATTCGAAATTCAGGGGAAGGAGATGCTTTTTAGACTTGGGTAAAAAGTGAGATCATCTGGTCCTTCTTATAGAAGCTCTAATCTTGCTAGCTGCGTCTTTAGCCGTTCGCTATCCACAGGATCCAACTGATCTATAAGGTGACGCTCAAGGTCCTCCCCGTTCCCCGCATAAAGTATACGGTTGATTGACGCATGCACGTCACGAGGGGGCAGTATACCCATCATCAGAAGACTATACAGCACGACCATACATTCCAAGTCCGTATTATCAACTCTCTGCCCTACTAGACTCTTGATAAATGACGAAGGGGCATATCCTATATGCCGAGAAAGAATATCGGATAGCAGATCGGTAGTAATGGCCTCATCACACACCCACGGCGCCGACGAAATGATGTAAGTAGTGACATAAGCCTGTTCAATTATAAACCGAGGGTTACTCATTTCATCGACTGGATAGTTAGCTAGATATCTGCTACACGTTAGATTAAAAGGAAAACATACAGAATTGGCTTATAACCTGTAGTATTTGCATAGTGAGGGGCTCGGTAGGCGCTATTGGCGTTATTGACATGGCTTAGGAACAAGAGGAGGTAAGATGTCATTGACTGCGATTGGTAGTAGAAGAATTACCTGGGAACAGAGACTCTTTATAGCTTTTTGCAGGTTCGTCTCATTGATAAGCAAATACTGCTTCTTTAATATTGATTGGCACTAAGGGCAATAGATTGATGAAGAAACCATGAAACTGGCCTCTGCGTTTTAAGTGACTGTCGAATGGATAGCGTAGAGTGACTTGACAAGATGTAAGAATTGATCTCTCTATGTACGAAGTCAATATGTCTCCGCGTCAATATTTTATTACAGCCAAGAAATCCGCCTAAGATGTACTAGTCCAAATTGCAACAAACACCCCTGAGATTTCTTATGCCATGGCACTGCATTGAGCATATCGAGTATCAATCATGATCACGATACTCTTCTATCCTTTTTTGCCCGGGAAAATGTCGGTTGCTTCATCATTTCCAGACTTTGAGCTTTGTTGTCTGTTCTTGCAGCTGTCACAAACACGACAGTATTGTCGAAGCTCTTGGGTTCTTTTCCAGACTTTGCTGCAACCTGGCTTGAAGCAGGGAAAACGGCCCCCAAATTCCTCCCTGTCTCCACACGAGAGATAGATATACCATTGATTCCAACACATGGTAGTGAACACAGAATAATTCTTGTTGCATTAGCATCTAAGCATTCTATGTTCAAAGGGTATCAACCTTACATTTTGGAATTGTTGTAAATCAATTTGAGACTGATTGTTTTTGCTTGGTCAAAATGCGATCATTTGAATGAAGAGAAAAGATTTAACCCAGCTGGGAAGCAGTTTTCGTTTCAAAGAACTTGGAAGGCAATCCATGGAAGGTTCCTTGTCAAGCTGATACCTATCTCTGGCAATGGAGATATGGAAATGGTTGGCTAGCAGAGGGGCGTCAATAGGGTATTATACTTTTCATTTTCGCCCCGAGTGAAGCGACTAGAGGTAGGCAACAAATACGTAAGTATTTTAACTATAGGTTGAATCAGTCATATTCTTCATCCCAAATGTAGAGAAATTCAAAACTTAATAAGTTTTGTTAAATTGAAGCCTTAAGATTGGACACGAGATCTATTAGGTATAGTCATGCGACGGAACGAGGCGACTCATCAATATCTGTATTCTTGTAGAGCCTCAAGAAAAATGGAGAATCAATAACAAAAAAAGAGTGATCAATGTGCTCAGCTACCAACCAATCTCCTCACCCGCTAAGACGCCAGATTCCTATAGGAGATGGTTCACGATGCGGATACTGTATATCTTCGAAATCTTGCATTATAGACATTGCACCGTCCGAATTAATCAGCCTTTCCCAGGGGTGAAGGCGATCAGGGAAATCGACTTGTTCAAGATCGACAACCATCACTCTGCATCGTTGGCTGCCCTGATCACATAGTAGAAAATTGTCCAACCTCTGATCTCGATACAGCGCACCATATTTTGAAAACTGACGAAAGACACCCTCAAGATAAATCTTCAAAGCGTCTGTAGGAAAGTCGCTCTTACTGCGCGCCAGTTCATAGAGAGTAACACCATCAATCTCGGACAATACAAGTGCTGGGAGTCCATTATAATAACCTTGCCCGAAAAAGAAGGGAATCACTTTTCCTTGGAGCTCTTTCAATTTGTCGTAGGCTGCTTTCTCATTCCAAAATTCTTTCTCCCAATCATTCTTTTGCTGTTTGACAATGACTGATGTGACAGTATGGGGAATCGAGTGTCGATATGAGCCCAGGTCAAGTGCGAAGCGATAAACTGTACGGCGTTCATCTAAAAGCTGCACATTGGTTGAATAAATTGGATGATTATCCAAGTAGATTATCTGAGGCGATGAGCTTGATCAAGTCTTCTCTTAAAGTACGGCAAACACTTTACGTACCTTGGATAAATTTGGGTTTTGGAAAAGGGAAGGCATGGTGTGGACTTGGATAGGAGTATCGAGAGATGTTCATAGAGAAAATTGGGGAGGAATGACGGGCCTTAGTCGGATATTTATCAACTCCCGCCACGTCACGTGACCAAAAAACGCAAGGGGAGGTAAAAAAAAGGATAAAAATAGAAAACAGTAATTAATGGCATCGCCTACCTGATAAGGATGATCTGCCAGTTAGATCTGAACGTCTCCTAATCCTATCGGTGTGCTCCGCACCGACTTCTCTCTCCCCCTCTCTTTAAATAGCACTACTAATATCTTCTCAAGTCCATAGATCAGCCGATTTTTATTGGTTAAATATAGGCTTATACCTGAACAGGGAGTAGTAAAAAGAAATAGCGGCGTTCATGAGCCTATATATAGGATTCTCTATTGCTGTGTACTTTGCTCTAGGCGTTAAGAGAGGAAACAATTCGTTGTGTCATCAACAACAAGATGGCCTTCATGGTCAAACCATGACCAGTATCCCTTGAATTCCGGACCACGGTCACTGTCCCTGGTCCTCACGAACCTAAGGTCGCGAAAATATCCAGATGGATGGTCTGAACGCCTCTCTCGGGTACGGTGGTCTACCCAGAAAGGCCGACCAGACCAGAACTCGTAACGACGGTCAAAACCAGCGAGGTTCAATTTAGTTGGTGAGCGTATATTATTCCCTGACTCTGTGGGCACGGAGTCTCCAGTTGCACAAAGACGAGTGAAACCCTTCAAGGCGAGTGCGCGCAGGCCCTCTGCCATCGTGCACTGGTCACCATGTCCAAGCTCTTCCCGTGGGATGATACAGATATCAACAGGACACATTTCGTCACGAATAGCCTCTGCATCTCTGGCACGGAACTGTAAGAGTACCAGAGTCCCTGAGTCAAAGACGAATGCTTGCGGGCATTTATACAAGTAAGCATACCTTTTCAAAGTTAATTAAACATGAAACAAAGGTAAAAGGGGACAGGGCATACCCTCTAATCTCCTGCATAAGACGTTTTGTTGTATTTGATGGGCGTCTGTCAAACATCCACTCTCTTCGTTTAATGACTCGGGGTCTTTTGAACTCTCCTACGATGGCAGCACCTTCAAGGTATTGCTTCCGATGGGCCATCGTCAGTTGGTAGTCAACTATCTTCCTTTCTGTAACATCCGACCCAACGAGAGCTCGTGGGTTGAGTTTAGGCCCCCCACGAACAGAGGCAGTAGAGGGAGCGCTAGGATGGGGAATAGAGCACGCCGAGTCGCCGAAAGCGAGCTCAACCAAGGGGCTGATATTCTGAAAAAAATCATGTGTCACATCCCCTTCGGTAGACTGTTCGAGCGATTGCGAGTTTAGCTTATAGGCTGGAGTTTCAAGGCCAACCGAATGAGCCACGGTCCCTTCTGGGGGAAGCAGGAATGCTGCAAGAGCTTGCATTGTTGGTGGCATTACCGTCAATGCTCTGTCATGAAGAGGAGGGTAATCATTCGTCCATTGTTTTGTTGATATTGAAGTGTCGGTGTCGACAGCTAGCTGTGCAGGGCTAGGGTGCCCTATCAGGTCGCCCACAGTATACTGTGGCATGTTGGTCGTGTTGAACTTAGGTATGGTTAACGAGTGATCATGACTGATTATCAAGGCATGGCTTCACCTGTACCCTTGGTAAGAGCAGTTTCCTCAATGAGATTCTTAGGTAACTATAGGCACTTGAGAGAGATTGAGAAGCAGTTCACAAAGAAAGATACCTTCCAAGAGTAGGTGTAGTTCTCCTTTATAAGACCAGATATATGAATAAGTCAGATATAGAGAAGAGACATATCGATCTCGCCCAATGCATTCTCATTCGTTGATTTTCCCACCTGATATAGAAAGATATAGAAGACTGATGAAAAAGAAGTGCTCTAGTTCTGAATGACAACTCTGCCCACTTGAACCGTCTCGATAATTAGTGCCTTTTATTACCGTATGAACAGGGAGTAGTTGGGCCCACTTTACTTTTGGGATTACTGCGTTTTGGTGACGCGCCTCACGGTTTTTGATGTTGTGATGGATCTTCATGTAAATTTCCAACGGTTCGAGTCTAACTAGTGCACATGTCAGAAAGCGTGATATGCAGAATCGTGCATTAGATGGCTGGGGCAGGCCATGGTGGGCTTTGTTCTACTGAAACTCCTTCGAAGGAGCCCCGTCTCCAAGCACACCGGCTATAGCGTTATTTTTTGAGTGCCAGTTAACGAGATAACAACGGTGCTATAGGTTCGCATTCAGGGTCTCGGAGCTTTCAACCAGCTATGAATACCTCGGCGGGGCGGAATGTCCACCGGTCTCACCGCTGCCATATCCTCCGGCAGAACGTTAAAACTGCTTAAAATCCCAATCGACATACTCACGTGAACGCTATCTTATCCTACCCATCACATGACTCATCGACCCGAACGTTAGGCATCACAGAACCCCTCCACGTAGCCCCGCAGAACTTCGATAATAAGACATGCTTTCACACGCTGATTCTCCGCCCATGGCATATGTGGCTTAAGGTCAGTAGCTATACTGAAAGCAATTTCCTCCCTAGCTAACACATAACATCTTACGCTAGACAATCTGTTTTCTTTCGAATTAACAACCATGGAGCCCGAAGGCTTAAGTTCCGATTTGATAGATTCGGTGCAGATCCCAGTCTCTGAACGGAATCTTTACAACCAAGCTTGCGAAGATGACCGGATCGCGGCTGAATCTTTATCGATAGCCCCAACTCGAACATCGGCGACTCTCTTGGTACAAGGCCGCGGTAGAGAAATGATTGCGCGTATTGAAAAGCTCTATTCCGTGAGAAAAACATATTTCCTCAATTATTATCGATTTGTTAACAATTTTCTAGGGCAGCGAATTACGAAGAGAGCGTCGATTGGAACACCGAGGGATAAAGCCCGCAATCCAAGTGTACTTTCCGGGAGAAACCCAGGTTGGAGATCCGTACATGGCTATAATACCTTTTTATATTTCTGGAAAAGTTATGCTTGGGGACTGTGCAGTGCAAATGGGATGGCATTATCACGTCTACGGAAAGTGCCAGCTATCAGTCCAGAACCAAACCGGCGTTAACGGTAAATTGGGAGCATGGGTATATATGCTTGGAAATTGATATTTTGTGCTGTAAGCATTTTCCTGCTCTGCCATATTACCCCTTTCAACAACACTGCATAAATGCCACTGTGATCATGCGGTCGAAGAACCAAGAGCCTTCGATGTAAGCACCTAGACAGCACATAATTTAGGTACTAAAATTTGGCCCAGAGGTATCAAACAATAATCAGGTTGAAATAGGTGGAAGTGTAAAGTCAAACATATGCGCGGATAAACACGGTGCCAATTCAGCAAATAGTGCGTCATATGGAATCGTGTAGTCTACTGGCTGGGTTTCGATATCAGTAGAAATCCGTTGAGCTCCGTATGGTGTTCCGTGAAAGGTGTAATCGAATGAGCTCTCGAGTTCATCGGGCGGAAGATTGTCGGGCAGAGGGTTTACTTCTGATCGAGGACATTCGCTGGTACGTAACGCGCTTGTACGTAACGGGGCGACTGCAAAATCAAAGTGGCTCTGATTTTCTGCTTCTGAGACTGCCGAGTTTTCAATATTGATTGGCAGCGTACGCAAGTTGCTCGAACCTTCATGATATGTAGAAGAGTATGGTGAATTATGCAGGCCTGCGGTTTGGTTATCGTAACAAACACGCTTCGCACCGGGCCATTCAAATTCGAGTGCTGACTCCATCATTCGAAAATCTGGGGGACTATAAGTCAAAGCCTTAAGGGATGATCTGGGGCGTTATACCAACCGTTATAGCGAGTTTGGAGTCTTGTAAACCACGGATCAATGCTTCGTAGAACGTCTAATACATGCAATTCTTCCATTCGTAGGCAAATTCTGAAATCATCTGACAGAAGAGCATCCACAAGTTGTGGCATTTGCGCAAAGTTCAGGCTTTTGAAATCGTCCATTGATAGCCCGAGGATTGCTGACACTGCTTCACACGAATTTGGCAGCTTGAGATCTTCGAGCCTTTTCTTGAGGACTCCTTCAAAGACTAGATGTTTCATTCCCTTATTGATAGCCCTGTTCGCATCGGATGCCGAGGAGAGTGTAGGATGAAGATCAACAAATTCCGATACCTGGCGACACCGGCCCTTGAATTGAGACGAATTGGAATCCTCGGGGCCAAGCTCCCCGCTTTGGATGGAAAGGACAAATTCAGTGATGGTCTGCAGTCTATCCTTGCCACGCGTCTCTTGTGCGAATTCTTTTGCAAGGGACCGTATCGATAAGAGTCGTAGAAGCTTATTTTGGTTGCTTGGCTTGTTATCTCCCTCCACCCGTCTGTAATCCTCCATCCTGAGATCCTGAGTAGGGTCTCTCTTGGAAATGATCTCGTGGCCTGTGTGGATGGTTTCGCAAAGCCAGAGTATGTGATCCGGTATAGCACGAACAAGTTTCTCTGTAACTTTCTTTATTTTCTGGCGAGGTCCTTTCTTTGGGATGGTAGTAGGTTGCACTGTGACACTAGGCATGTCGCTTCTGTGCCTTGGTAATGTTTTGGTACGTTCATTGGGAGATGGCAACGGACTATCCACATCATTTTCGTAGGTGATCGGGTGATCGTTGGTTGTGGACGGACTGTCCCTTCCGAAGTCACTGGGCGGGGGAGTGCTGGTATCAACCGTGGCGGGTGTGGTTGAAAGAAATCCGAGTTGTAGTCTCTGACAGAGGATTGAGAGAGTCCGAGCTATTTCTGTAGACCGAGATTGGAGAGCTTCATCTGTGGCAGTCCGTAGTGTGTCTAAGGCAAAAGAAATATCCATAACTGACTGATGATGAAAGGCACCAGAAGTTGCGGTCGGCATATTGATAAACCTTTACCTAGTACCCACATATTGTTCTGGCAGAACAATATGTGGGGCCGTGGCTCTAACTTTGCATAATCTAGACCTATCTTTTGTGACCTGCGGTAGGTGACACGACATTACTGCGTTGTTTTGTGCGGATTACGCGCCTCGCTGCAAGTGTGGAGGCTGCGGGGAGAGAACGAGGGCCGTGCAACATAGTCTGGCCGGTAAGCGGACCACTCCTCTAATCTGACTTGGACAATAGAACGTAAACATTGGATAGAGCTAAGGGTGGAATCTGCGACCGACACACTCGTCACATTTCGTCACATTATACCTTGTTCATTTGTGCCCCATGAGGATATGACCATGTCGCACGTGCAAAGGGGGTTGGAACATATGTTCTCATCACCTCGTGCCCTCATATGCGCTTTCCCTATTTCAGAGTATGCGCACAGACGCTTATGCAACAGGGATGTAAGATGTAAAAGTCATTTTCGAATTGGCACATTAATCCAGCCGCAGCTCCGATTGACTCTAGGTGGCCGGCCGTGTCAGCCTCGCCCCGGATCTTTCGTAACCCACTAATCGGTTGACAGAGGATGGTGGAAATGCTGCGTGAATGCAGGGCAAATGTGCCTTGCGCTGCGCACAGTATCTCTCATCCAATCATATACTACTCAGCGGGAAACCCGACTAAACGATTGGCCGCATATTCGACAGATACGGCGGGCAGACCCCGTTGGAGCGACCCCGTTGGAGCGACCCCGTTGGAGCGGCCCCGTTGGAAAATATCAGTTGCCTCGGACAGGCAAAACGGACACAGCCCTGGCTTTATCGGTGTTCCGAGAGATCATAGGATCACAACGGAGCAAATCTACTAGTTCATGAGTATAACATCGCGTTCCATATATCACAATAGAAAGAGTACCTTAAAATAAAGTCCATTAATTCAATACTTGAAGAAGCATTCGAGATGATCACAGCAATCGTATACAGAATAGCAGAGGCTCAAGATTGTTAGGTGTAGCTCTAATGCTTGGACTTATATCCTCAAACTAGATCGGCAATATGGCGGACATATATTATCCTGCAAATGGCTTGCATTCGACGTATCCAGTGTAGGTTACCCTACACATAGGGCATATCTTTGGAGTCGCAAGGTCGTCTGCGCATGACTTGCAAAACACGTCGTCTGCGCATGACTTGCAAAACATGTGCCCACATAGCAAAGCCACCCAACGGTCTGGCTGCATATAGCAGATCTTGCAGTCCAATTTTCTTAGATGTGAAAATTCCTCTTGTGTCTTTTGGCGCCTATTCCTCTCCAAGCGAATATCCTCTCGAAGTTCTATGTTGCTTTGTCGTAACTGTTGAATATCATGGTCAAGCGCTCTTCGGAGCTTCTTAAAAACACGATCCTAGTCTTTTATTAGCCATATAAGAATAAAGCCTTGCGAGGAGCTCGTACCAGAGTAGAGGACTCCTCCGTTTCAGTTCTTTTGCGTTTGCGTGATGGCGCCGTGTCAGCCGCATCATCATTAACGACCATACTCTCGAAATCAGGGTAACTGTAATCGCGCCGAGGGCCCCTTTGAGGTCGCGAGGTACCTGGCTCGGGGTTTGGTAATCTCTCATCATCGGCTACGATAATTGCATCGGAACGACTGGCCATTGTGCCGGCCACTTAGGGGAGGAAAGCCGATATAACCTGGCCGGATGGGAAGAAAAGGGAAAATCAGGGAACGCCGCCAGCTGGGGGAAGGAAGGCCCCTTATATTCCCAAGGACCAACAGTGACGGAGTCAACTCCGGAAGATGATTGGACTCTGGTGTGTTCGCAGCTCATAAGTAGCCATACTCAAGCGGCTTCACTCAAGCCAATGAAAATCCTTGAGTATGCTTCTGGGCTCTTTGGCCCCTGGGACAACTTACGCCTCGGGTGACAGCCTCGAGCATGAAAGGATTAGCGTCCTCTTCCTCTTTTCCTTATCTTTACGACTATCAGTGACTCCTATTTGTCAACATCGCCCAATGAAGCCACTCCATTGTATAGCGTCTATCCTGCCAACGCCTCGTAAGCCAAGACCTACCTGCTGAAGTTGGTCGGGCCGAAGAGGATTCAAGTTTTTCAGAGTAGCCATATAGACATCTGCCTCGTTCCCTGGAACTCTGGCTTCTAATGCTCGATAATCCATAGCGGCCGGTATTGCGGCGAGCTTTCCAGCATCTTGAGACTGATCCAAATTAAGGCACGTCAATCAACATCATGTTCGAAACTCTTGCATCCTGGGTCTGTTTCATAACCCTCATAGCGCCTTCCAAGATTGTGAAGACCCTCCCAGAGATTGGGAGTGGTGCATAGTGGTTGAACAAGAGACCACTCGAGTCTCGGAGCTAGGCTCAGAGGTCAGTTCGATCACGAACACGCTGGATTTTTGGGACGAACTGATCGGTGAGGATTATGATGATGTTCGAACCTGAGAAATATCCTATTTTGACGTTGATAACAGGTCTTCAGTACTTAAAAACGCTTATTACATCATTCCCGCAAGAAATTGCTTGGTTCCCAGCACGCCTTGTTTATCTCCCAACTCAGGGTACAAAGAAAGTACTGCCTCTAATTGTAATTTTGCAGCCCTGATATTGCCTTCTGTATGTGGACAGTGCGCCTTAACAAACCTCTCATGAATTTCTTTATAGTGGAAGGCCGACTGGAAAAATAATCTCTTCCCGGAATCGCACAGCAGGGCCGATATCGTGGGAGGCAGGTGCTGCGAAGATTCTTTCACCCTAATCAGATTTTCAAGGTAAAGTCGGTCTTGGGTGAAGTTTTCACCCTCTGCCACAGCATCATTCTTCCATCCGGGAATATCGGCAATGAACCAAGGATGGTGAATAATGGCTGGTAGAGGGGCCACAAACATCCAATCCCAGTCAATGATCCTATGCACAGAACTCGTATTAGAAATATATAGCGCGAATCATTAGAATGCCTTATTAGACCTACCCTGTCAGGTGAAAGTCGTCACTTTTCATGATGTTATGAGCATTCAGATCACCATGGGTAAAGCCAAAATCAGAGTAGCTATCGAACTCAGCAGCGTAGTCTGGGATCATAGATCGCATGATCAGATAATCAACAGCATTGCCCCATCTTGCGGTACCAGTGAGAGTTCGACGAAGACCTCGATCCAGACTCTCTGTCAGCCAGACAGAGTACGAACGATTCTTCTCTGGAGCAAAGTCAGGAGGGACATGGATGGTCCATATTTGCAACAGAAATTCCGCCAGGTCAGTCAGGATTCTCTGGCGTTTGACCAAAGAGACTTGATAATTCCAAATTGCTAGCGGCTTGCCACTGATCCATTCCGAGTACAGCACTGGGTATTGTTCTTCGACAAAAAGATTTGGCGCTTTCATGTTTGGGCATTGCCTTTTGATATATTGAAATTGTTTAACAGCACGCAATTCGCTTTTCCAATTTCTAGAATCATCGCAAAGCCGGGCAGCCCACTGTATGGAATCTTCAAAAACAACTTTGAAGACGCGGTGTGAGCCACCATGGCAAGGAGTTTCGTCAGCAAGTGAGCATGGAATCCCCGTACGAAGGCGGCTGGCTCCAGATAGAACTCCGAGTTCCATAGCGTTGAATTCTTCGAGTTCGATTGGCTTCTTTTTGCGATTATATGGAATGGCGGGGGGGGGGGGGGGGGGGGGGGGGGGGGGGGG